TATTTTCCATGGTTTCACAATTATTGATGAGGTTATTTATAAATGCTTCGAGATATTTAAGGATTTCAAGCAACAAGTTAATTTTACTTTTTAATATTTGAAAACATATGATAAAGTGTTATGAATTTTCGTGAAAAAAGCTGTAAAGATTAATGATTTTTTGAACCTTTTTTTTTAATAAATGAGCTTTCATTAATCCGATTCCGGAATATTTCAAAATATTTCTCAGGATATTCACCATTATAGCATTAAAGAGGCATTATTACTGGACAAGTTTAAATTATAGAAAAAATTCTGACCCATTAAATTTACATAAACTTGACATTACGCACTTTTATCGAAAATATGAGAATTTTCTCTAATTCTTTTTTCAAATTTCAAATTACAAAGCTTTTCCATGGAAAAGTTTTTTTCTCACAAAATTTTCAAAAAATGAAACGAAAACAATAGTGTGAGGCAATTCTTTTAAACAATTATTCTCACATTTCCAAAAATATCTTATATAACGTTGGAAAAATATTAATTTATATTATATTTTCGATAATAATCCCCCTATTGTTTTTTAAACAATTAACAGAATGATTATTTCGAGGGCTTTGCGAAATACTTCAAAGAATAATCATTGCTTATAGATAGGACATGATAGCCGCGTACAGATTATTGTGCAGGTGGTTCGCGGCTGCCACTTCCGACAGGGCTAAATTTATGATTAAAAATCAGGAAATGACTAATAACTCATCTATCTACTAAATGTGCTTCTAAATGAATTCAAAAATTTCTAATGGCACTAATAACGAAGAGAATTTTGAGAAATATTTTGAAAAAAATTACTCACTTAATTACATATTTCATTTAAAATTTCTTTCAAAATATTTGTTATTTATTGATTTTCTACAAGAAGATGAGTTCTGATCTTTAAATATTCTAATTAAGGCAAAATTAAAGGAATTAAATTAAGGAAAAACGGATTTATTAAAATTTCAGCGATCAGATTTGTAGTTGTGCTATTTCCATAGGATTCAAGTTAGAATTTTTAAGGAAGGTTATTTAATTGAAATTTTTAGTACAATCCTCAATATAATTATATTATAATATAATATAATTATATTATAATTACCTAAAATATTAACTGAATCAATCGTTCATCTTGTTATCACTGCTAAAATTTCATTGCTCAACAATTGGTATTGTGTAAGGGTTAAAAGGAAATTGATTTCCTTGATTAGGCTAGACGATTCTTTTTTCTATATGAATTTATTTAATTAATTCACACAACATCCGTTCTTAGACGTCAAGTATAATATACATCCTCTTTGTTTTATTTTACTAGCTTGAATGAAATTGGAAACTTTTTCTTTCTCTTTTTCGATAAGTAGAAATAAAATTAAGTCGATTGGCTCTTCCAATCTTCACTTCGATGAAAATCATTTACTTAATCTTCTGATCACCAATCTTTCATGGACGAAACGTTGAAATTTTTATGTTATATGATTTTTTTTATCTTTAATTATATTCTTGAGATTTTATAGGTTTTCATCAAAAATTGTCTTAAAGTTTTAAATTCTTAAAATTAGAAATGTCACGGATATAATTTTAATTTTCTCTAAAATAAAAGGTGAAAGGAGGTTATTTTTATCATTTCCACTTTTGCAATCTCTTGCAATCTTTAATCCAAAATTGATTTGTGTTGGAGATATAATTATATTCTTAGACTAATCCTTGATTTAAATTTATATCTAAATCTAGTTGCCGTTACTTGTTGTTTGCATGCTACAGTAACTTTTAAAGTATTATATATAATTAGGCTAGTAATATGATCAGTAATGACCAAAAAGTCATGGAAATCTTATGAGCCATCGCAATCCGTATTGATATATTGATAGTCCGATTAAATCCATTCAAATCGTACATGAATCTATTTAATTAGTTTGAGCGAATGCTATATGCAGTATTTTATATTATATCATATTTACGGTTACTGTTTTAAATAAAATAAAAATAAAATGAAATAAAATGTTCTCTTCAATTAACCACTCGGCAACTCAAAGATATAACTTTCATTTGGCGTATCATTTCTCCTTATGTCATTTCATATCATTTCGGGACTTTATAACTTTCTAAAAAGAAGCGAAAATTATGCAAGCGATAGTTATAACGGTGAAAAAAGGAGTTCGGCCTATAGATCTATTAACTGATTATAAATCGGCTTTTCCATGTTATTTACCTTTATAAAAAAGTTTGAACCATACCATCAAAATAGCATTTTTTTTCTCTCTTAATTTCTGGGTGGAAAATCTTTTTAAATAAAATTTCATTTTAAAATTGACAATTCGATTATCAAATTCACAAAAGCACTATAAACAATTGTCAATATTCATTAATTATTTATTTACAGATTATTTTTTTAAATAAAAATAATTTTTCTCTGAAATTAATGAGAGCCAGTTGTCTCACGAAGAATTGATAAATAATTTATTAAAAACGCAAAAAATTGATAAAGAATGATATTTGGTCAGGATGACAACGATTTGTAATCCATTATTTTTTTTGATGAATCCATTATTTATTTGTGATGAATATTTAAGCGATCAGCAAATCAACAAAAAGGCTATTCAAAGCACAAACAAATTATTTATGACATTTGCTGTTGCTTGTTTTCCTACGAACCCTCACAGACTTTCATGGTTGGAATGACTTTTATATTTTTTAATATTTTTTACTTTTATATTATTTACCACGATGACCTCAAAATTAAGTGGTTAACGTTTATCCACTGTTTATGTTTTTTCATTCCTATGTTCCTTAAATATTTTCTTTCTTCCTTTTTTTCTCTCCTTTTTCTTAGATATTCCTCGGATATACAATTTTGCACAAGCTTTTATTCATTTTTTTTTCTATTTAAAGAAGCTTTAAAGCGATCATCTATTCTTTTTTCATAGTTCATTTAAATTGAATTTTTTATCACTTTTTCAAATCTGACAAATGTTACAGGATTTTTTACAATGCTTAGGATTCCTTTTTTATAGTGTTTAAGAATCTGAAGAAGAATTTCGAATTTTGTGTTTTATGTGCCTTATTTTGCGTGCATAACTTTTGTCTTAATATAACTTCCATATATAATTATTTTATAATTTATATAATTTAGTGCAAAATCTTTTTTTTCCGATTACTTCTCAATCAATTAAAAAATCGCTAATTAATGAATGAATAAGTTTCAGAATAAAATGTCAACAAGTGATTCGGACGATTGGAGGTTTGTTCGTCTTTTTTTTGCTTAAAATATATGTTGAAATTCACTTCTTCAATTATCCATTTCCTAATATTTCATATTTTGCTTTTCAATTTCCTTAAATTGCTATTTATTCTAAATTCATTTGCAAACCCTTACAAAATATTTTGCAAAAAAAAGAAACGAGCGAATAGCTGAATGATTGAAATTCATAGTTTTCTTGAAGCTTTGCAATTCCTTTTTATTTCATTTATTAATTTTCATTCATTTAATAATTTCTAAAGTTAATAATTTTAACTGAAACGAGGAATTGGACTTAATTTTCTAAAAATTCGTCGAAAAAATTTGCAACTTGCTTTCACTAAAATTTTACTGTAATTTTGCATTTCCTTGAAATGAATAGCGTTAAACGGTTAATGTACTTCACTTCTGGTTAGATTGGCCCTTGCTGGTTGTTATGTCAAGAAATTTTTGTCAGGAAAATTTTTTTCATAGCGATAGAAGTACAGGCGAATAATCTCACCTTTTTTAACGGCAGATTCATCTGAGCAACAACTCAGCTATCCTATTCCTCTTCCTCTTTTTCTTTGAACAGAATTAACAATCTAAATACCTTTGATTTTACCACGTAGAAATTGTTATATTCAAAATTGGAATATTCGTACATTCGTACATCACATACTACTTTTCCATTGTACTGTTCTACATAATTTTTAACACGTTTGAAAAACAAAGGAGAGATCTTAAAAGTTCAATAGACTGACAAAAGAATCTGTTGATTAAACTGAAAAAATAATAATACAAAAATAATAAAAAAAAATCTGATTTTGGGAAAATCTAAACCATATACTGAGCAAATATTCCTGTTGACAACGCCAGCTAATTAGTTGTGCTGTTATGTTGCCTATGTCCTATATTTTGTCACTATCATTATATTACTATATGCTGAGTACTTTTTGTGCTTTGCCGCATAACTTGTATCTTGAATACGGTGTGTCTGATGTGGTAGATTGCTATTTTGATGGATCTGATGCTATACTTGATGTCTATTCTTGTGCTGCTGTAATTAATACCTTTGCTATCTTTTGCCTAGTCCAGCTTTTTCCAATTACTATTAGGATTTCCTAATGTCAGTGGTACATTCATGGAGGGTGTTGTCGCTGCACTTCCTCCGCTTGGTATTTCTCCATTGTCTTTTGATGATTCAAACATTCTCTCAGCTGCTTTTCCTTTTATATTAATCAACAAATTAAAATCTGCAAAAAAATTATTCATCAGCAATCATTGTTACGAAATGAGGCAATTTATAAGCGAACACTCACCCAGCTCATTCATCCACCTTCTTTCCGTCTTGGCTTTCAAATTTAGAGGCAGAAATTTCCATGCATTGCGAGGAGTTTCTGGATCTTAACGTCGGTAGTATCAATGCCTTCCTTTGATCATCTTATTGCAGCTGCATATCTGATAACTAATAGAGCATACGTGTTTATGGTGTCTATGGGTTTTGTTCTCCTCATTGAGCTGTATTCGTTTTATTCTTTGGTTGTTGTTATCTTCTCAAGGTGCTTGTCTATATATCTCCTATGCTCGCTGATAGTCTTACCCCATCAGTCCTAACTATTTCCCCTCTCTTTATTACCATCTTGTCACACTCCAGTTCAAATGCCATTACAGTGTTCTCATGTTATATGAATGGGCGAATACTTCACTTCGTTCGTACATTTAATTATTTATAGCATATATATAATATAGGTATAATGTAACTTGATAAATAGAGAAGATAGTTGATGATAGATATTTGCAGAATAGTATCGAGCAAAATGCACCAATCTTTATGCATGGTGCACTTGATAACCACTTATGGAAGTTGTTTTGAGTTGACTGCAAATGACGTTTTTCACAACTCCATTCATTTCTCTATGGAGGCCTTTAAGATCCTATTGATTTTGTATAGAACCAAATACTCTACAGATTCACGCGTGCAGCAATGGATTCGTAAACCTTTTTTTTATCAATCCAGGCTATGCTCAGATTAATCTTGAGACCTTGTGTCTTGAGTCGCTGAAGCGACTCCTCCATCTATGAGCATCTGGTGTTTCGAGTCTGTACTGTTGTTCCCAGTGCCTTTTTGTGCTTATATACTACTAGCTCATATGGCACTGTAATTTGATGATTATAGTGGTACTTCCCGCGATATAAAAAGTTATTTGTCGGTGTTGAGCGGTGTTGTTGTCTTATGAGAATCTACTTTTTTAGCACTAGCACTGGCAAATATCTGTTATAAATTAAATATCTAATTAATAATTAAAAAAATTAATTAAAATAATTATTTAATTAATTGATAAAACTGTTAATTAATAATTAATTAATTATTTAATTTTTAAACTCACTCTCAATTTATTTAGCTTAGCAGAGACTTAGAAAAAATAATCACTAATCATTATTTGTTCTAAAGTTTCGAGAAATTTAGTTCGGATAATTGGTATATTTTCAATAATGCAGAAAAAAAATTATTGCTGCGCTCATGGAAAGTTATGGAAACAGATATTGAGCAGGTGTCCTGCGGTATATATACCATGATTTTTAATCAAGTTTGTCTCATTCTTAATTCTTACCAATAAAATCATTTTAAATTCTAAGAAAATAATGCAAATTTCATTTAACTTGATTAAGCTTTTGTGAAATTTAATTTTCCATTTTTTTATTTCAACATTTTTTGGAGAAAATCTGGTATGGTTAACGTAATTGTTTTTGAATGCTGAATGTAAAATGCATAAATATATCTATATAAATATGTCTATATGCGTTTAAATGCTTATAGTGCCCTGAAGCCAGGCAGCTTTTTCCATATATGAGGCTTCCAGTTAATGAAAGTGATAAAAGGAGCCAAGGTTTTATTTTTCAGGCGTTGCGTTTTATACAAGTTAGTTTTCATTGTTTATTTGATGCCAATTTTCTTGATATATAGCTTATTTTTAATGATTTATATGATAAAGTTTATCGATTTCTCTACATTTATATTAATGCTTAATGCTAAACTCGGTCATTGACTAAAAATAAGCGGTGGAAAATAGATAGAAAAATTATTTTATTGCATTTTATAGTCTTCTATTTTTCTACTAATGGTAATATATTTTACTTTAGGTTTTGGAAAGTGCTATCACATATTTGGATGATTTACAAAGCTTTGATCCAATACTACATAATCTTGGTCGTCGCCATGGTAAACTCGAATCAAGTATGGGCTTTCGACCATATTATTGGTATTTTTTTTTAAAGCTTATTTCCCTTTTCCCTTAATAATATTTAATGATATTTATTATTATTGTTACTTATTTAATTAAACTTTAAGGATTTCATTAATAAAACTCCATAAATTGGTAAAATTTTTTATGAGATTAAGTTGAAATTTTTTAACCTATCGTACATATCGGACATAAATTTGAGAAATTTCTATTGTCAGGTCAGTATTTTTGGAATGCACAATATATAATATACGTTTGTGCTTGAACAGATCTAAAAATGATTTATGGAATGATGCAGACTTAGACGAAGTTATTATTTTATGGCGGCATTTGGTTTCCGGAATTTGCTTAAGAATTAAGGCAAATTTTCTTAAATATTTTTGTGAGAAAAATAAAACTTGTTGTTGGCAGTTTTGATATATGATAAATTCAATTTTCCTGGAAGAAGTTAATAAGCCATTCTTTTGATTTATAAAATCCATTAATTGCGATTATAATTAAAAATTATAGAAAGGATATTTAATGGACATAGCTAATCGCACAGCTGCAAAAGATAGTTGGTCCTCTCTTCCAGCATTACCAACAACAACGAAAAATAATCCATTTACTTCAAAAATACCAAACCAGGCAAAAACTCCCATCACCGGTGAGCATTTGCATGAGAACCATAGAAAGGTTGGTCTCATCGACCAAATAATACAATTCAAATTAAGGACTTTTAAGCATGGTTTGTGAGTACCTCATTCACAGTACTTTAAACGAAATCCTAAAGTAATATCGCTTTTCCCATAAATGAATGTCTAAGCTATATCTTTTAGTAGTTTAGAAGCTTTAGTATGTAAGAAGTAAAAAATAATTAAAAATAATTAAATTATAAAATTTTAAACCATTTTTTCACAAATGAATAAGGATGGCATTAAAATAGTAGTGCTGAACATTTTATTTTTACTTAACCTTTGACCCTCATTGCACCGACAAATACTGGTTCCTGATATTTAATGAACCTTAATTTAATTGAATTCTATGTGATTTTTTTGAATTATTTTGATAAATTACCATTCAGATTGATGAATCTGTTTGTGTATTTTTGTTATTTTGCTGTTTAAACGAAAAATAAAAAATTTCAGTGAATGCTCGACGAGGCTCAAATGAATGTTTCGCGAAAATAAGTTGGCCATTTTGCCACAAAAATAAGTCTGATCGCTTTACTTATATTCCTAAGTAATATATTAAAGGTATTACTATGCATGGAAAAAAAGGATGAGGAAAAAAGTGATATTTATATGAAACTTTAAAATAAACAAAAAGGAGTTCCTAAGAAATTTATTTATATTTAATTATTTGTAAAGATTAGCCATTAGCCTTTCCTTTAAAATTTTCACATTTATGTTTTATTCTACCTTTTTATATTCTTTTATCATATAATAAATAACTAAAATAAACCATTTCTGGATTGATTGAGCTTTAAAGATCGAAGTAAACTATTCCCGAAATGGTTGAATTTTAAAAAAGAAGAACTCGTTCTTCTTTTTCGAATATCGACTTTTAAAAAAAGCGAAAAGCGATAAAAGATAGTAATGTGAATAAGTTTATAAAAAATATAAAGAAATTTGCCAAAAATGAGATGAAAAGAATTTGGAAAAGTTGGATTTATATTTTCGCTATTCTAATATTTTATGACAGAAGAAAGATTTAAAGAACTTGATTTATAACTTAGAAAACCTTGTTTCTTGCCTTCAGAACTTCGATTAAGTTACATTTTTCTTCTACTTCTCATGAGACATTTTATGAAATGGATATTACTAAAAATTTGGATTAATGGAATATTCTTTTTATTATTTGGCTACTTTTATTAATTTTTATTTGAGCTTAAATATTATAATGTAAAGTCCATTTCGATCATTGCATATTTTTCCAAAAATTTTCGATGCAATTTTTGTTAAATACTACTTTGTATGCCATTATTATTATTGCTTTTTCTTCATTAAAATATAAAAAAATCAAAAATTATTGATTTTTTTATAATTTTTTGTAATTTATCTTGATTTTTAAATCGTATAATCGTATTTATTTCCCTAGAAAAATGTGCAACGTTCATTTAGAATGTTCATGATCAAATTTACTGAAAATGCATGTATAGCACACTAAGCTATATTACAAAACCTTGGATTTTTTGATTTTCTATTTTTTGATATTTTTTTCTTCCGCTCTTGAATTCGCTATTTATATCAAATCCAAATTGTATACATTTTGTCAAGAATGTGCCATAAATTTGGAAATCACTGCTTCCAAAAAAAATTTTTTTATCTCAGTTTTTATAATTTTTATAGTGAACATTTGCTAATTGATTAAAAGTATCTGATTATTTCGAAAATATTGAAAATAAAATACAGTGACAATTTTGTGGCAATTTTTCTTTGGCGCCTGTCATAGTAGAATTTTATATAAAATGGGAAATTACTTTACTAGTAGCAGTAAATCAATAAATCTCAAACTTAATTCTTATAACTTGTCCTATAAAATTCAGATATTATTCAATAGCATAGAACAAAAACTTGGAAAACTACAAATTCTAATAATTCTAATAATAATAATAAGCAAGAGTTTTTAAAAAAAAGGAGTAAAATTTGGAAATTTGGCTTCATCGCAGTGATACTTGTAAGAAAAAATCTGTTACGAAGTTAATTTTTCACTTCAATTTTTCTAATACAACGAATACAACTATTATCGCTATTTAATATTGTTAAACACTATATATGGAGATCTTTCAGCGAACGTTGAAATATGAAAATTTATTTATTTGAAATTTTTAATTTTAATTTTAATTTCAATTTTTAATTTCAAATAAGAAAGGATAAATAAATCAGTTTTATTCCGCGAAATATTCAATCAAATAATTCGATACGGAAGAGGAAGAGGAAGGTGAGGATGAAATTTCACCGAAATAAGCCAAGTATTTCAAATAAAAAGCGTGAAAATTCTCAGAAATTTATGTTTCAATGTTCGATAAAAGTGGTACTTGTTGTAAAGCCGGCTGTTCTTTTCATTTATTTTAGTACTATAATTAGGACAACTTGCTACAAATTTCATTCATCCTTTAAATACTTTTTTGAATTTTATTTTTAATTATTTTTTACTTTTATCATATGTCAAAAAAGTGATTGATACCTAATGCTTATCATTTCTGGTTACTCCATTGGCTGTTAGAAATTTTTGCCAGAGAGACGATAATAGTATAGAAGATGGATCGCCAACATCACTTTTTAATGACAAACCTATTTCTGTTGTTGAAAAAAAACCTTGAACCTGGTGATGAATTTGAGCAAAATCACTCGGCTATTCTATTAATTTTAGAGTGCTGTTTGAATTTTATTCTTTTTTTCAAGGGTCGGGAACAGAAATGATTTATTCAATATTATTTTTTGTCATGTTTCTGAACCAAGAATGAAGAAATAAGAATGAATTCAAAGAAGATTTGATCTGCAAAATAACATTTGCACAAATAACATTTTCATTACCTGGTATTAAATTTACTTTTATCGTTGAACGACACTTTTAAAATTGTGGCTTTGTTAAGAACGAAGGTTTTAAGAAATTTCTTAAATGCACTCATTGTAATTTTTTTTTCTACAGTTATTCACCATTTCTGGTTTGGCTTACACTAAGATCTATTCGCCAAAGATTTATCTGTGAATAGAAACCTAATGGCTCTCCCGATCTCATCTTTAATGGAAGGCTTTTTCTCGTTAAAGGATTCGACTTGAACCCACGAAGCAGCAAGCCACGATTTAAAGAAGTGAAATTGATCGTGTTGCAACGGACTTTTTTTAATGTAAGATTATTTTCGTCAAAATTCTTCAAAAAGCTTTCAAAATGAAATAAAATCGCCGAAAATTTTACAACATACTATGGAAGATTTTATTTCGGTACTCATGCAATTTTAAATATATGTGGATTTTACAAATTCTCTTTTGAAAAGATGGATAAATATTACAGCTTGCACGACCCAACGAAGATCTATTTTTTTTCATTCTCTGGGGGACGGCATGAATAATTTCGCTTCAAATTACAATTTGCCATATTAAATAACCTACCATTTTAAATCAAATCATTTTAGTACGATTGAAAGTTCTCGGCAGGCAGCTGGCTTGTCAATAGATGGGTCACCATCACTACCGTTCGGATTTCCAGCGATAGGTTTATTTTTACCTGAGACAAGCGCTAAACTATTGACTCTGAACGCAACTAAGAGCTACTATCTACTCTTGTATCATGCGTTTAAATTTTTTCACTTCAATTTTCTGAGACCGGTATTTGTTTATCGGTATTTTTAAATTTAAAGTGAAAAATTATAGACCACTGAATTCTGAATTTTCAAATTGGACTGTTCGTTTAAATTTTTTTTAAATCAATCTCTACGATTTTTCTATTCGAGGGCAAATTTGCATTTTGGAAAAAAAGCGAATTCCTTCAAAATGTGATGCTGTAGACAATACGAAATGTGTAAATAAGAATCAAAGTGATATTTTTTCATTTTTCATCAATTTGTTTTTCAAAATTTTTTCTGATAAAATTCTTTATTACAGTTTGCAAATATTAATTCTATTAAAAAATTTGAAAATTTAATAAAATGAAAAATTTAATAAAATATGTTTTAAAAAATGAACCGATCTTTTGCATAAACGAAATAAAATTGGCTAAAAATAAACAGTGAAAATAATGAAAAATGGATAGAAATGAATGAAATTAATTTTCCATTTTGTTATAATCGATTTAATTTTTGAAATAAATCCTTTTCAAAATTTTGTACTTATACTTTTCTTTTGTACTTATACTTATACTTTTCTTCACAGCCTTGTTCACAAAATCATTGGTGAGCTTTGGCGATTTTAGGTCAAATGTGTGATATCAGTTTTTGTATAAGATTTTAAAAAGGACATATTCGTTAAATTTTCAAGAATGGCAGGAACGGTATAAGAGGTTGCAGAAGAGATCACATTCAAAAATAGTTTTTAAGGGAAATTTGCGGATGAAGGACTATATTTTTTTTCAATTGTCTTTCAATATTAAGTGAATCTTTAGTAATTTAACTAATTTATATATGGTAGAAGAAATTATATGACAAAGGGAAAATAATAATAATATATGGTCAAATGGCTTTTTGCTTCGACTAAGGTCAAGCACAATCGCTTGGTATGAATAAAGCTGTTTTTCAAAAATGCTGTTAAATGATGATAGTGATGATGACAGTTTTTCGTTAAGATAGTAGGATCTGCCAGAAGGATAAAAATATCCAATAGAAAAATATTTTCATAAATTGTTAGTTTGCGAAAATAGGTGTGAAACAAAAAAATATGCTCATTTATGGTTTCTTATAATTCTAAATAATGCAATGAAAAATGATTTGAATACGCCAAAAAACTATAGAATTACTTTTTAGCATGCCGCGATAATGAATTGCTTTATCAAAATATGTCGCCAAAAGGCGATTTCCCAAAAGGAATTGTTGTAAAGGTAGAATATTGAAAGGGAATCGCCATGCTCTCAACAAAAATTCCGTACTGTTCCCCCTTTTCGGTACTTGGTGCGTCGGCCGGGAAGACTCGTTGTTCGAATTGAAATTTGAAATAAGAATATCAATCAATTATTTGTCGATTATTGATCAATATCATTTGGATAATTTTTATCGAGGAAAGAATAATTAAGAAAAGAAAAGAAATATTCGACAGTGAAGAATCGATATTCAGGGAAGCTTTATTGATTTGAAAAAATTTTTTTTTGAATTTTCGAAAGAGTTTCTGTATTTTGTCATTATTTATAAGTTTATTGATTTGTTTTTGAAAATTTGAAAATTTATTTTGCTGTGACCCGAACATTGTCGAAATGATCTCGTTTGAAATTGAGAATTGACCCCTACGCAACAGAATTAATTGAATGCTTAACTAAAGTAGAAGGTTTTAAGACCTTTAAAATTTAAAACACTCACAAATAGAACTTGTACAGCTGGATGAAATAGAGCAGCTTAAGTCAGATATCAGCCAATTGGCCCAATGTGTTAGTAATGGGATAAAAGAATGGGAGGCATTAATAAATGACCCTCTCAATGCCAATAGAGATGCTGATACAGAAGAATATAAATTGATGGCAGCTAACCCGAATGGGTATTTGCGACTCGTTCGCAAAAGACGCGTAAGGCAACTTCAGATTTGGCCATTATAATTAGACGTTGCAATAGAAATTTAAGTGACAATATGGTCACAATAAAAATGGAGAAGGTAGAAGTGGAGTCACAGAAACTCCAACCAATAATAAAGCTGCCGAATTACAATTGACGAAATTTGATGGATCAATAAGGAGTTGGGTCGTATTTAAAGATAACTTTTTATCGACTACTGGAAATAGAAGTCTTGATCCAGAGGATAAACTTAGATATCTCACTTAGATAACTTAGATATCTTGCCTCGAAGGAGAAGCGAAGGAATTGGTAGAAGGATTCGCTATGGATGGTGGATCTTACAGGAATGTATGGGAAATTCTGGAAAGCAGATATGGAGATAAATCCATTATTATTGAAGAATTATATAAAGAATTAAGAGAATTAAACCCAAAAACAAAGGACATAAAGGAAATTCGCAAGGACTTGCAGCGAATATTTTGCCAGTTGACATCTTTAGGAGAAAATATCAACAACAATTCGATTTTGAGCATGGCACAAGCTAAACTGCCAATATATGTGCTAAAAAGAGTTTTAAAAGAAAAAAGAAAATGCTCAACACGGGACATGAGCGAATTAAGAAATGTAATGAAAGCCTGCGAAGAGGAAGAGCTCCTATTAAATAAAATGTTAAGGAGCGGTGATAAGGAAAAATTGCCGAAGCACAAGACTATAAATAACTTTAAAGAGGAAAATAGCCATACTGTTATAATAGAGTAAAATATGAACAACTGCTCCAGGAACCATAATACCGCGTTATGTCAGGAAAAGAGAGATGAGCGGCAACAGAAAATCCAACAAGATCAAGAACAAATGATAGTAACCACTGCCAATTTTTTAAGAGAAAATTCAATAGTGAACGAAGTATTCCTCCCTTGCAGGGAAGTATTCGTCATAAATCCACTGAAACCAAGCAAGAAAATTCGAGCTTTAATTCTGTTGGACACAGGAAGCCAACAATCATATATTTCAGAAACATTACGAGAAAAGTTGCAGCTTATAGCATGAGAACAACAATCAATTACTGTATCAAGCTTCGCATCAAAAATTCTCCAGAAGTACCATACCTCGATAGTAGAAGTAGGGATAATACTTCATGATGGCTCTATATTCAAGATAATGGCAAATACGACGACATAACTGACATCGCAAATAAAATACATGCAGTTGGAAGGATATCAATCTTTAAGAACGGAAGGTGTAACAAAAATGGCGAAACCCGATATATTGATAGGCTTAGATTATTATTTCTCTTTTATGAGGCAAAAAGAACGTGAGAAAGGACTCTGGCGGATATGACTCACGGTTAGGTAAAATATTTGTTGGGAAAACTTGTAATCAGAGGTTACAAGGCCAACAAGAAACATGTCGTAGCTTATTAACCTTCACGGTGCTGATAGAACAAGATCTGTCGCAGTTCTGGGCTCTAGAAACTATTGGAATCGCAGGCCCAATTGACTTGATTGATGATGAAGAAGCATATGAATTTGAAAAATCAGTCAGAAGAAATGACCAAGGAAGATATGCTATATCATGGCCTTGGAAAAGTCCTGATCCCAAAATCGAGTTTGGTAGATTGACATCCATTTGGAATAAACTGCTAAAGGATGCAAGCCTGAGACATCAATATGACCAAATATTTAAGGAGCAATTAGATGATAAGATAATCGAACCGGGTCCTTCAAAAACACCTTAAATATTATATTCCATATCTTCCGATTATCTCTCCTGATAGATAGAGTACAAAATTAAGAATAGTGTTTGATGCATCAGCGGCTAGGTTATTCGTTAAACAATCAACTGTATAAAGGCCCGGGCTGGAATTATTTTATGGCTACGATTGGGAAAATTTATTCTAATGGCGGACATAGAGAAGGCCTTCCTTCAAGTGGAAGTGAATGAAGATCAAAGAGATGTGACGAGATTTTTATGGTTGAAAGATGTGGAAAAAGCACCATCGAGAAATAATCTACAAATATATAGATTTGCCCGCATGCCTTTCGGCCTTAAATGTAGTCCCTTCTTATTATCAGCCATCATCAAGCATCAACTAAAAACATCCAATGGCATACTTGCAAAAGAAGTATAAAAAAATAATGTTTTCCTGAAATTCGATGAGGAAGAAGAAACGCTTAAAGCATACAAGGAAAATTTTTGAAAAAGCTTATATGAACTTGAGGATGTTTGCAATTAATAGTGATAAAGTAAATCACTGTATTCCTCAAAACGATCTCAGCCCGGCAGCCTTTGACACTGGAAACGGATGGCGAATAAAAATCTTAGGGATTGATTATAATAATTTTTTAATATTATAGATTATCATGGTCCATTGAGAGACCTCCACAGGAATGTAGTACTAAAAGACAAGTATAACAATTCGTTGCGTCAATATTCGACCAATTAGGACTTCTAATCCCATGCACTCTTCCGATAAAGATCTTCTTGCAAAGGCTTTGGTCGGATAAATATGATCAGAAATTTGACGAAATAATGAGTCGATAATGGCGAGATATAATGAAGGAATGGCAACCGATGTCAATACAAATACATCGACCAATATAGTGCATAAAGAATGAATGCAAAAAGGAGATTCACTGCTTTGTAGATGCATCGGAGAAAGCTTACGCCGCCGTAGCCTACATAATTGTTATTAAACAATATCGTCAGATAAAATTTTTGATGGCGAAATCGAGGGTGACACCACTCAAAGGAACTTCCATTCCAAGATTAGAATTACTGGCCGTCTTTAGGCTGCAGACTCATCGATTTTATCGCTAGCCAAATTGGAGTTCATGAAGAAATACCACAATATCTGTGGTCTGTTAGTAGAGCTGTCATTGACTGAATCAAAAACGACAAAAAAGAGCAGCAAATATTTGTCCAAAATCGTTTAGAAGAAATCAGAAGACACCAACATGTGTCAATTCGTTATGTCCCCTCAAAAGAAAATCCCGCAGATGATGTTTCAAAGGAAATGTCTACAAGGAAATTAAAATTTTCTCCGTTGTGGTGGCAGGGTTCTGGCTGGCTGAGTTACAGTCAGGAAAATTAGCCAAAGGAGCCCCACAATGAAATCATCCATCAAACCGTTATAACTTTTTTTTAAAGAAGTAAAAAAGTTAAAAGTAAAACCATTGAAGAGATTGAAAGGATAAAGGTAATTGATACATTTCGTCTCAGTAATTGGTGGGAATTAATCGGGACAATCGTATACGTGATAAAATTTGTAGTAAAAACATCAGAGAAGATTCGAAGGTTAGACCACATCAAGCATAGGAGCTCGAATATCAAGCTTCTGACAAAAACATGGTTAATTCGTCAATCTCAGTCGGAAGAAATAATCAAAAGATTTATTAAAATGGGAACTTTATCAGGACAAGAATAATATCTATAGATGTAAAGGTCGTATTCCCAATAATGTAATATTCCTTCTTAGAAAGAGCAGAGTCACCGAACGCATTATCTTACATCTTCACACAGCTCATGGTCGCTGTGCTACAGCATACACGCTGGGACTACTATGGCAAGAGTATTGGATTTCGAAGGGTAGACAGACTGAAACTACTCGACATGCCTAATTTGACGGTTTGCAGAATTCAGCAACAAAGACCCTTTAAATCAGTTGGGCTAGATCTTTTTGGACCTTTTAATGTTTCGGAAAGAAACCATGGTGGTCAAGAGGTGGACAATTTTCATCACTTGCTTGACAACCATATACTTAGAAATGGTCTGGGATTTATCAGCAGCTGCCTTTATCCGCATATTTCGTAGATTCTCAGCCAGGTGGGGTCCACCAACTACGATTCTGTCTGATAACGAATTTCGAATCAGCAGCTAAAATGCTCATCTCCCAACTTTCTATGTTAATTGGGGTGGAAGGGAGCGTAGATTGGAAATTTATAACGCCACATGCGCCCTGGCAAGGAGGGAACGAATGATTGGTATAACGAAAATAGCCATGAGGAAAATGGTAGGCAGAAAATTGCTACATGAAGAAGAAATCAGAACGCTTTTAGTGGAAGTGGAACATTGTTAATTTGAGACCATTAATATATGTCATGGAATAACCCTGCGAAATTATCCTATTGATTTAATTTGTCCAGGAATGTAGGGAAACCACTTACTACTGAATAAGGATAAGGATGAAAACTATGGCAGATCGGAAAGTTATCGTAAAGATATACTCTTAAAAGGATGGAAAGAAAAATAATTCCAAAGTTTTAGGAGGTGTGGCGGCAGGATTATATCAACCTACTTCGAGAAAAAACTAACCGTCAGCATCGCAATCCCCGTTCGAATGTGAATAGAAGCCCAAAAGTAAATGAAATCGTTTGACTATGTGAGGAGAACAAAGATAGAGGGATCTGGCAGTTGGCTAGAATCGTCGAAGTAAATGATGAGTTTCAGGGGAGAACTCTAAACCCCCAATAAGATCGGCAAAAATTAAGTTGGCTAATGGTAAAGAATTAATTAGATCAGTATCCCTCCCATACCCTCTAGAAATTACGGAGCAAGAGGAACCCATCTCTAAGGAACACTTTACACACCCAGACACACCATTAGGGGATCAGGATGTGATGGTTTTAAGGAACAGAGAGGTTCCCAGATGTGTTAAATCCCATATCAAGCAAAAAACTCTGCATGAAATTGTACAAAAGAGAGAACCATCACTTAAACAAGTCAAATTCTTTATTCTTATTGTAGCCACCTTCCTTTGTGTCAACGGCGTGCGTGGGCAGGTTTCATAATGTTAATTTCTGTAATGATCTCAAGGAAGGTGCATATTTTAATAATAAGGAAGAATTTATAAATGAATCAATTCTTAAGAATAGTCGAGATCATTATCTTATTATTAAACCCAGATAGAAACTGATAGGGATGCTTGCTCATAGCAGCGGTTATATGTATACCAGATTTTGTCAGGCGGCAGTGTCGCCAAAAGGCGAAAAAAGCTATAAATTTGAGCAAATTAACCGGATTCCCGCCCATCTTAAATTAAATATAAGCTCCCAAAAAATCAATTTTGGTCATTTTTGTGTTTTAATAGGGGAAACGAGTGGGAGAGCGGTGGGTGAGTGATGGGCATTTAGTTTTTATATTTGATTACTTTTATTGTATTATTTTGTTGTAGTAGGGCAATTACTTCGCTTTATTTTCTTGTATATATTTGCGTCTTTACTAATAAAGGTTCAATTACCCAAGTTTGAGGTAGGAGGTTCGCAACGAGAAAAGTAAGAAGTAGAAAGTAGAAGTAGAACGCTGGCCGCAGAGTTTTTATAATATTGATAAAAAAGAAAAGTCCCGCGTGGCAGGAAAGTTCTATACAGAAAAAAGATAGTGGAGCGGATTCTTAAAAGGAGTTGTTGTAAAGGTAGAATATTGAAAGAGAATCGCCGTGCTCTCAACGAAAATTCCGTACTGCTATAAAATTCCCCCTTTTCTGTACAAAATATATCAAATGAATCATATTATAGTCAACCTGGTTATTGCTTAAAAATATGTCCTAATAAAAATTGCAGTGGTTAGTTAATCATTATCAACGGTCCGAAAAAATTTTAGAATATTAATCTCAGTAATATAAAATATTATTTCAATAATATAAAATAATATATAATAAAAAATAATAAATACAAAATTCAGATTACCTAAAAAAGAATATCAGAAAAATTTACCACCAGAAGCATTTATTTATATTTAATGTAGAATCAATTAGAAATCAAGAAATTAATTAGCTAAATTAAAAACATATAACCAACTTCCAAATGAAAAAAACTATTATAAAGAAATTTCATCGAATTTTCGCACTCATTCTAAGTGCTTTTGTTGATATCCTTATTAAGGAATGAAATGTCTTGATTCAATAAAAATTGACTGTAAAAAATTGGTGGATTCGGATGGATGCTATTTGGCTACATTTCATGAATATTGCCCATTATCTTGTCAATCATGCTATAAATTAATAAGTGTGAATTATTTGCCTTTATTCTTTGATGTAATATTTTTGTAATTACTAGAATTCACTGAATTTCAGTAAATAAGAGATATGCGATCTTCAGCTGCAAAATTTTCAAAACGATTCTCTGGAAGATAAAGAAAATTTATTTGAATAAATAAATTGAAAGGCTGAGATTGAAGATTATAGTTTTAATAATTAGCTTCTACTCGCAAAACTAATAAATAACACAAAAAATAATAAAAAGAGCCATAAATAAACAAAATCAAAACAGCCGTAATTAACTCAATTTCAGCAAATATTACGAACTATAAACGACTTCAACCCAGCGAAATCGCTCCAAACATTAATAAGGAAGCAATGAAAAGATCAAATTAAGATAGATTGTTTATTTTTATAATAGTATATATTTTTTTGTTTTATATTCTATTTTTCATTCCATGATTTATAGTACCATATTTGGCAACATATTTAACAAGATTTCTGTAGCAATGCCAAGAGAAATTTGAAATAGGTAATCAGAGCGAATCTTTTTTTTATTTATAAAAGCGAATGCCCAGTCTTACTGATATTTATTTTTTTTCAGTTTTCATATTCCATAAATTAGATTGGATTGAGGTCGGCGGAATTCCCCAAAGAAATTTAGATATTGCCTATGCTGGGTTGCTTACCTCTTTTTTTGAAGAAATGCTGGAAGAATAGAATTTGGTATGGCGATTTTGGCACAAAAATATTTTAGGAGCCAACTTGAGGAGTGCGTTGGGAATTACAATTTCCAAACAAAAAAAATTGCCATTTTGGAGTAATTTAGAATGACTCGAGGTTCCCTTATGAAACAACAGTGATGGAAAAATGAAAGCTCGACAACTTACAAATCCCATTGTAAGATTTCCCAAAAAATCATTGGCAGACGTCAGGTAATTTAACCAATATTTTAGATGAGTAATATTGTAAATATAACAAAATAAGTTTTAGAATAGATAACTCCGACTTTCTGGAAATATTTATAAAAAATTTCTGTAAATCATTTTATCAGTCGAAATTATAAAAAAGGAAATAACTTCAACTATAAGGTCCAAAATCTGTAATTATTCCGCTTTTCGACAAGCCATTTAACTATTGATCATTGTGGGTGGGACTGGAGATATAAAAGATTAGTTGTTTCTAATAGGCGGCGAGATCACGATGCCTGAAAAAGACTGATAATACTCCAGATAGCATTAGGAAAGGCAAAGAGCCTGTTTAAGGAAAAATTTAATTTGCAGGTAGTAGGCTGGGAATATTTATGCGTATAATGGATTCCCTTCTAATTTTTTTCTTTATCTTTTTTTTCCATTTTGACTGGTTGATTAACGATGCTATTAATCATCTAATTTCAATGAAATTTTAATTTCGAATTTCATAATTATTTTTTAGAATTTATTATAATAGAGGAATAAAAAATCCAAATGTCCAATAAGATTATTATTCTTGTTTGAGAAATTGCATATATATTTTATCGTTTTTTCGACTGATAAAATGATTTTCAGGAAATTTTTATAAATGTTTCCAAAAAATCGGAGCATCTATTTTATTATATTTATGATATTATTATTTGTTCATCTAAAATTGGTAAATACCCGAAGTCTACCAACAATTTTTTGGAATTCGTCAAATCCTTTGTAAGTTGTCGTTTTACCCAACCTCGCACCTTTTTCTGAGGTCATATTTTTTTAAATAGTTGATATTCTTTCGATCTTTTTGCTGAAGTTTTGATTATCAGTTAAGTACTTTTCTTTACCAGCATTACACGATAAATAATAACATATATATAATATAATGTAAAAGAACAATATTATAATAAAAACCTATAGCAATAGTAACAGTAAAAATAACAATATTATTGTTGTGGTATTTGATAAATTTTGCAAAATATAATTATCGGAAATTTCTTTTGATCTATTTTCTAATAAATTTATTTTGCATTTATCTCGATATCGAAAGGTATTTACCGCTTTTAGCAAATCACTTATTATTATTTCTTCATTTGATGATTTATGCAAATCGGATTTTGTATTTTTGTGGTTTTCGCTTGATTTAATCATAATGAGTGAATTTTCTTAATTTTCTTAAGTCATCAGTATTAGGATTTTGAGTGCATTATCAATAATTGAGAAGTGTTCAATTAATTAATTAATTATAGATGTGATTAAACTCACTTTATAAGATAAGATAAATAACGGGTGGTGCTGGTGACTTATTTACTATTTCTCTGGCTGCGATATCTTTAAGAGAAATTAATTGTCTTATTAATAGCGAATAGAGCAAGATTTAGCAGAAATGATGAAGGCAATAGAAAAAGGAAGTTGAATTTGTAATATTTTTAGTAATCATACAATCTTACAAGTCTGTTTGATTTATTTTTCTAATTATCAGTGCTATTAAAATTTTATATGACAAACTTTATAGAGATAATGAGTAAAACTAAGTGATTTACACAAAATATTAACGAATTATTTAATTGATTCCCTCGCCTAAAGCATAATTAAAAGCCTTCTAAAATTATTTTGACGGAATATTAATGGATTATTATTTCTATTATTTCTGTGGAATAATGATTTAGATTTAGAAATATAGAAGGAAAATCTTTTTGTTTTAACATTTCAAATTATTTTTCCAGCGAATTTAAAAGCATTTTTTATGATAAAAAGTGAAAATAGAAACTCTTAAGCATTGATCATTAGTGGAATTATGGCGAAAAAATGGATATTATTATAGTAATAATTCTGTTAATAAATTCTAAACTAAAGAAAATTTAGGGAAATCAAATAAAGCAAATTTACCGCGAATATTAATCGAGAAAATAGATGATGCGTAAAATTTTTTCGCTTCGATTTTATTATAGTGAAGAATATTTTTCTTTTTTTAGATAAAAATTTGGATAGCATAGACGTTTAAGAAAAAAGTAGTAATTGAAAGAAATAAATAAACTTCTGTGGAGAAATAAGACGAAAAGATGAATTAATATTATTTTCGCTTCATTAATTTATATTGCACAAGGTCGTTCGTTCATTGAATTATTTGCTATTTCACGAAAAGAAACTGCTTGGCTGTTGACATTGATAATGAAAGCCTTGAACTGGAATAACCGAATCCAGCTAAGCAAAATGATAGAAAAATTATTTCAAGACATACACTGAAAAAAATGCTGGAAAAAAATTCATTAAAGACAACTGAAAAAGTTGGCAAAATTTTCTTGTTTTCCTGGATTTGTATGAAATTTCTTGAAAATCCTCTGACGACCGAATATTTTTTGTGTTTGTCGTTCATTACCTCTGGGCTTCTCTTGACAGTCACAGTCAAATGGGTACGATGAAACATATTTCAGCAGAGAGCTACTTGCGATATGGACTATCTGCATTATCCGCATTGATGAATCTGTTAATGACGTCTAAACAAAACTGAAGAAAATCATTGGAAAATTTTTTGATATGCTGAAATAAAAAATATTTATAGGATATATATTTCATAGACCTAATAAAATTGAAAAATTAATTTTCTTTGGAAAAAACTTTTTTCGATTAAAAAATCGTCAAAAAAGTAATAAAAATAAGATTCACTTTCATTTTATCGATAAATCAAATTATTTTAATCGGTTTTTCGAAATTTCCAAAGTTAAGTTCTTCTTTTCTTTTCATGCCTATTTTAATAGGGATATACGATGAATGAAAAGAAAGAATTTCATATGAGCAAATTTGGTGACAGGTGAGTGGTGAGGTAACCAAGTCTTTATTTAGCTTTATTTAATTAGCTGCTGTATTAATTCATAGAAATAATTAAATGTTTTCAAAAGATGGAATCGTATGTAAATATATAACGTATGAATAAAAGAATAAAATATACTTTTAAATTTGCAAGGTGTTTTAAATTAAAGTATGAAAAATATTAGAAAAAAACAAAATTTTTAATTTGATAAACTTATGGGAAATACAGAAAATATAGCCTTATGAAGAACATGTTTGTTCAAAATAAATAATGGGTTTTAAATGCAAATTTTTTTAAAAGTATCTTTTAAACATAATTAGGAGAATAGGTTAGTCGAGTGGACAACGATTTAGATTGTCGTGTTAAAAGTTTAGTTTGTGAAACCTATCACTAAAAAATTCGAACTGTACCGACAATATTGTACTTCCATTGCGAGATAAATAACAGCAAGCGGAGCCAGATTAACCAGACATGTGTACTTAATTATTTGATTAAAAATAATTTGATTAACACTATTATGAAAAATATCAATATCTATGACGTACTTTTTTCTCTTTTGTAGAGTTGTCAGTATGAATTAGTTATGTGTTGATCTGAACGCAACTGACAATATAAATAATTCGGATTCATTATGACACTTGTTGACAAAAAAAATATTGCTGACCATTACTGATTACTTTTTATATAATTATATATGCCATTATATAGGTATAAGGTATAAGTAAGTATACAAGTCATTATATTATATCATAATATACAAGTCATTATTACAATTTCCTCATTTTTATATTGTGTGAGTGAAAGAAAGGATATTGGGATGGTAAAATTATATGAATTTTTCGGAACATGTAGAATTTATTTGAATGTTATTGGTTGAATTGTTATTAAAAATGGCTACCGAATTGTATTCACTTTTTTGATACAAAATTTTTTATCAGCTGATAACCGTTAGAATTAAAGAATTATTGCCTGTAATGAAAAGGAATGAAGAAAATTGAAGAAAAAGAAAATTGATTTTAAACGTTTTTGTTGAATAAGTTTTTCCAAAATCTGAATCTATAAATTAATAAATTAATTTGATATGGACGGTAGTTTATGTTTATTCAACTAAATAAATAATAATAAATTAAGTATTTTCTATTTGTCTTCATTTTTAATACAATACGTATTGTTCACACTTAACTTTATAAAGGTCAATGGGTCATCGTCATCTATTATTACTTATTATTATTTATTATTATTTATTATTTATTATTATAGTTTATTTATTATTATTTAGTTTATCGAAATGCAAGATTTTTTCTAGTTAATTAATTAAATTTATTGTCAGCAATAAAATTTTGATCCCTTTTTAAATGGTGATAGACGTTCGTGGATCAGAGGAAAATCTCTATCTTTTTAAGAATTATGAGATAACTGGAGGCTTGCTAATTACAATTTTTTGAGTTTTTTTATGAATTTTTATCTGCTTATTCTCTACTTGGTGCTAAAACTATTGTAATAATGTGATCCCGATTTATGGATTTTTATCCTAAAAGTCTTTATGATCCCACATTATTTCTAATAGAATTTCTTACTTGCATTTGGAGTATTAATTTCTTTGTTGTCGTAGCTGAATAGTAATTAAGTAATTAGTTCTATTAGTTCTAATTGAATAAAACAACATCGGCAATAATTGTTTTTTTTTTTTTATATTCTCTATAGATGCAAAATCTACAGCAACAGATGTTTGGTTAATAAATGTAGTTCCTTTCTGCGAATTAATTTCTTATAAATTTACAAATGGTTTATAGTTTTACGAATCGTTCAAATTTTCCAAAAAATGAAGAGATCAATGTCGAAGCAGCTTATATAAAAGTATATCCTATGGATACAATGAATATTATATGTCCATCAAACAACAATGAAATTCTAACGATTTATCAGGTCTTTAATTCTCTTAAATTTATCGAATGGTTGTTGCTTAATTTATTATCCTTAACTTGCCGAGATATTGTCTCCATCGGAAGACGGGATATCTCATTGAATAATTTCTTTTCTTCTGGCTAATTTTTCTTCGATCATTTTTGAGATAAAAAGACATTTCATATTATATTTTAATTTCCAATTATTCTAAAAAATTCTCAGCAATTTTATATAAAAGAATATACGATTTTTTTTATGATTGGGAAATTAAGAGCTTTAATTTTATTCTTTATTTGTTGGCAATTCCATAAGAAAAATTTTCTTCCTTTTTCTAAAACTAAAAACTAAAAAATGTTTTAGGTGTCAGATTTATCGTTCATGAACTGTGAACTTGATGGTCGTTCACAAATATTTTTAATATGTAATTCATCGAATTACCATCAACCATCATCACACCGAATCGTTTTTCGACCATTTTCTCCACTACCAAATGGTTTCGAATACCAACCAGGACGATCTTATTATCTTATTTGTTAGTTATCTATTTATCATCATATTTTTTTTCTTCTAGTAACTTGCATTACTTCGCATTGTTGGTGATTTGGTAGATATTTCCAAGCTTCTTGATTCCATTCTTGTAACTGCAACCATTCTTTTTTCCATTGCCTTAGCCTGCATATTGACGTGCTAATAAGCTTCCTCTAATCGTGTCAGCTCAGACATCGATCGATCATGCTCGACGGCATGACGATATTATACTTATTATATTATATTCTTATTTTACTTAATAAAATTCAATTATTTATTCAGCAACATCAAACGGAACTTATGAAGGAATGAATAATACGAGGCATGGTTTATGCCTTTTGAAAAATATGCGCCTACGTATCGATATTCAGCCATACGAACCATTTAATTCGCCTACACTTTATAAAAATGGTAAATTCCATTGTTCCAGGATGACAGATAAGAAATCTATGGTTCCCAGTTTAAAACCCTAAGTAAAACTCTTGTTCATGATAAATTTGAGCTATATTCAGGTTCATGGAATTTCTTTAATTATCTTTCATTCAGTAAATTATGAATTCGACAAATTATTCTGTTATCTAAGTAATTCGTTTTCTAAGGGGATTTCTCTAAATTATGTAGCGAAAGAGGAAGATCGCTGCATTTAATTTAATCTTTAGTTATTGTGACTGAAATTCATCAATATTCATAAGAATTGCTTTAAATTTTAAAGAAAAATATGCAGAAGAGCCGTAAACTATTCGAGATATTTTGAAAATTGCTAAATTTTTTTTGCATTCAATTTGTCATCAGTAATATTAACTGAATTTATAGTTCTTAATGATTATTATTATTTTATATTATTTATTTATATTATTTTCTCATATTAATAAAAAAGATTTCCAGGACAAACGTTTGTTTTATCTAAAAATCTCTTCAGAGTATTTTTTAAAAAAAAAAAAATAAAATTATTTGTTCTTTGAAATATCGAAGGTCGACCCAGTTCATTTTCATTATTAATTTTGATGTCAAGCATGAATTTATGACAAAATCATAAAAATGATATACGATATTGACCTTGTTTAATCAATCCTCGCATCTTCCTTAACTTTCCTCTTTTTTTGTTACTAAATAAATTTTATAATTATATAGAAAATTTCTAATGAAAAGGCGAAATATTTTTATAGACAGAAATCTGAGCACCAAACTTCCTGCTGCTATTAAATTAAATAAGAATATTGACAAAAATGAAGAAAAAAAAACTAGAAATGCTGACGACAATGCAAAATCATCAATAAGATTAATTAAAGAGGTATTTTAAAATTTTTTATAATTAACATAAATTTGAAGATTTAGAACTAACCAACTAATTAAGTTTTGCAAAAAGTTTTGATTCTTTAAAGATCAGTGGCATAAACAGAAATTCTGTATAGAATTTATTGCCATCGTTGATCGCTGATTTTCGTAAACATTGTCTTTAGTTGGGACCAGTATTCACAAGCCATTCCCAAAATGTCATTGACATTAATTTCACTGAGGTGTTTCAGTAATTCGGTTTGAAATTCGTTTCAGCTTGTTGTTCTCGGATCTTTTAATTTGAGATAGTTGAAAGATCTTGGGATACGTTATTTCTTACGATTTGTCAGTTTTATACCAATCCTGGCTCGAACCATAACAATTTGATCCATGACCGTCACCAGTTTCAGCGCCAGATAGAAACGACTATTAAGCAAAGGGCTCTTCCAACGGCGACTGACCAATATATGATGATCGGAATATTGGTATCCAGAGAGTTCAACGTGGTTAAATGTCTTCTCCGATGCATCTATTAGTACAAAGAGCTCATACTGTTCGGCAAAACGAAAAAGGGGTTCTCCATTGATGCATTGCACCCATATTTGCCAATTATCGAATTCATAATCTATAATAATCTATATTCATAATCTATATTCCAGTCTCTCCCGATTATGACCATGTCACCTCTCGGTTGAAGTTGGAGTTCAGCACATAGTTATCCTTATCGTGATCATCTGTGCGTAAAACTGATTGCCGAAATATTCTGAAAAATCAGAACTTTCTCTTGAAATGCCTGTAGGCCATACGGTCAGTGGCTTCCATTTAATCACAGTAGGTCGAGCCTTTTCAGATATGACGATCACTGCACCATTTTGCCTCCAGTTATCCAAGACTCCACAGTGATAGAGCCAATATTCAGAACCGGCTTTAATAATTACTCGAGAGCCGACATGAGGAAGATGGTCCTCCGATAAACAGGTTACATGCACGCGGTATTTAGAAACAATATGGACAGTGATTGCTTGGCTTACAACATCCATAAGCATTTTGATGTTCCAAGCAGCTATAGCCAGCAGCTTGCCGTTCTTACAAAGTGTTAACGGATAAGTTCTCACCTTCCTTGATGGGTTTTGAATAACTGTCTCGGTTCGCGAGCATATCCTATGCTCAAGCCTTGGAATTATTTCATTATTATTATTCCTGGATCGTATATTTGTCGCATGTATCACCGAGCTATCATGTGCATCTGAAGACGCTGATGTCGCGTCAAAGAGACCTGACCCTTTCAATATAGAGTCACTTGGGAATAGTGATATGGGTAAGTCCTCATCAGCCACTCGAATTTTGATAACATGACAGGTTTATGACAGGTTTACTCCTATCAAAATTAAAGGCAAAGATTTAAATTTATATTCAAATATAAATTTTAAAATAGATTTGAATTTAAAAAATTAAAAAAAATTTAAATAAAATTAAAATTAAATTGTAATAAAAATAATTTTTATTATAATAATAAATAATTATTATTATTAAATTATTAAATTATTAATAAATTAATAATAAAAATATTATATAAAAATGTTATATTGAAATATTAAATATTAATAAATATTATATATAAATATTATAAATAAATATAAATACTAAATATTATATTATTAAATATTATAATAATATTATTTCTATTTTTTAATTATTAAATTTTTAGAATTTAAATTTTCTAAACTAAATTTTAAAAAATTTGGAGAAAATTAAATTTCAAAAAAATAGAATTTTATTTAAAGATAATTAAAAGAATAAAATTTAAAAAAAAAAATTTGTCTGATTCTCAGAACAAAGATATACTATTACCTAATAACAATAATAGTATAATAGTAATAGTAAATAATAAATAAATTATAAAATAAGGTAAATTGATAAATATCGTTTTATTTATTTATTCGATGTATTTATTAATCAAAAAAAAGCTATAGATTTACAAAAAAGAATGAAGATATAGATTCGAATGGCTTTTTGTGAGCTATATGAAATGAAGTTCATTACTGTTTTAAACAATATTTGTTTGAGGTCTAAATTTCCATGCAAAATTTTATCTTATAGAACAAGGACGAAGAAATAACGTTAGATAGTATTTAGTATTTTTGTTTTATAATTTCTTTGCTTTTTTTAAATTAGATGATTGCACCGAAATTGGATGAAACTTTAATATATGCTGAGCGATATGGTCTGGATTCTGAACGTTTGGAATATGTTCGACAATTAGCCAAAAATGGTATTGAAGGCGATTTTTCTTTCCAAGAAATGCAAAATCAAATAGTAAGTAAATATTTTGGATATTATGGATCAATTGGACTACTATTAAAAAATCGAGATGTCAGGGAATCGTTCTAACTCTAACTGAATCTCTGGCAAATTTGCTTGATTTTGCTAATAGCCTATTACCTAGCTTAACCAGAAATGATAAGTACCAATCATTTACTTTTGCTTAATTTATTTTTAGTTTTGAAACTTTTTCAGATCTAATATTTTAGGTCCTCAAACATGATAATGCTCCAAGCAAAAGAAAAAACAATAAATCACCTGAACCAGATGATCTTATACATTCATTAGCTTCGTTTGTCCACCCATTGCCGACGAATACAGGTCTTTCTAACCGACAGTGGACTTTTGCAAATCATTTAAATAATAATAAAGATTGGTTAATGGCCAATAAAATCAACGGCAATAACGATTACATTGTTGATGATACTTCGGGTTAGTTCATCTATTAAATGGATTAAATCAATTTTTCATTAATTCAAAATTATTTCTTTTAATCGAGTAATTTTTTAGCAGGTTCAGTGGTTTATTCAGTGAATTTGTTAATCGTAACAAACATTTTCTTAGCCGTTTGTTATCTTATAATATACAAGTGATATCGTTAATTTATCCAGTACTTCATCTTTTTTTGATTTTCATCGAATTGTAAGAACGGGTTAACCATAATTTATCATTTGTATCTAGTGCCTATAATGCCCATATTTAATAATATTTTTATGAATTTTTTATTATTTTTGTCGAACTGCATTTTTTTTTAAATTCTTACATCAGTAAAAGTGACAAGTTATGTATCATATTTGATAGTTTCTTGCTATTTCATTCGATGAAAAATTTATTTTTAGAATAAGAGGAAACCAAAAGTTAAGGCAATGGTCAAAATAAAGTTCACGAACTGGAATTAAAGGACCTGTGGTCGGTTTTTCTCACTAATGAATTCTGAGCTCTATCCTGTTCTCTAAAATAAACATTGCATAAGATAAATAAAAAATAAAATAAAATATGAAGGAAATCCACTAACAGTCACCAGCGGTGTCTTTATTCACCAAGTTTTTTAAATCTTTTACTAGAGGCGGGAGATGGTTGTTATATGTTGATTCGATTGAGTTCAGTTGCATTATAAGACCCATTCCTCTTGGAGAAGTAAATCTGTTATTACAAAAGCAATCCTTGTGGTGCCAAATATCTATCTACACTTCTCAGGTTTGGTTTTTTTAGTGGTCTCACAGATGAGTTAGGCAAACCACAAATGGCCAGTTTTTTTAGAACGAGCTTAATGGATAAAAAATTTGAGTGCAGAAAGAAAATAGTCCGCACGGATCGAAATTTTTCCTTGTTCATGGGTTTATATCAAAGGTATAAATATTCATTAATGGTAACAAATAGAAATAATTTTATGGAGGAAATTAACATAATTGATAACGATTCTTTATGAGGTCTTTTCACTGTTTGTTTTATGGTCCATGAAATTGGATGGCTATTTTGAATGCCACAGCAAGGAATACAGTTCCCAATAAATCACCAAACGATGTTAACAACGGAATTGAATAATTATCTGGATCAAATTTAAATTTCCATAGTAAATGAACCGTGAACTGACCAAAGTATAGGAGCAATGTAATCTGGAAGCTGATTCAAATTGGCTGAAATAATGTATCTCAGATAAGCCGAAATTTTCACCGTAAGCACTGTAAAGATGAGGCTGCAATATAAAAGGACCACAGGAGGAGATGGTTTTTACTATAAATGATTTAGCGCTAAATTAATAAGCATAAAAATTACCTGGAGAAATATGGCGACTAGATATGATACTATAAATGATAAAAACAACATGGAACTTGAGGTATAAACTAAAATAAGCGATATAAACAAAGAGTGTCCACAAAGTCCTATGATGAGCAAAATCCGTGAAGCTTGAGCTTCTTTACCTTAAAAATTTTCAGTTTTTTTTCGTAAAAAATAGGAATTTTTCTGCATAAACGATATGCCATTCTCTTTTTTTAAAATGATTAATAGAGATAAATCATATATCATGTAAAAGATTTAAACTCATTAATGGATTTGAGAAATCTTTTTAATGCTTTTATCAATTGTTAGAAAATTAAAATTCATTATCGTAAAGTTTATTTATCAAAACATGAATTATATTGCTTATTTCATTATTGTTTCGATAGAGCCTTATCAGTCTAAAAGTAAGAGATAATAGTGCAAATATTGTTCCCATTCTATTTCGCACTTATCTTTTAATGAATTTTTCCACTATTCTATATGTGATTATTAAAATTTGCGCATGAAAATATGTCTTAATATGTGAGTTAAAAGAAATTTAAATAAACAATTATTGAATAAATTAACCTTCGCCTAGCAATGCTCTTGTAAAAATAAGATATTCTAAAATAGAACAAGGGAGTTCGCCAGTTTTTGCATTTCGGTGCAATTCGGTGCTAAGACGACTGATTTGCACCCCAACAAGGTTACCTGCAGCACCTAAGTTTGACTTAAATTATCTTCTTCTTTTAAGAAACGAATGTATGGCCTTAAATAATGAAGAAAAGAAATTTCGCAAATGTATTAAAAAGTACCATTGACAACTAACTGTAAACTGGTAATGTCAGGAAAAGATTGAATACTTCTATGAAATACAATACCAGCGCAACTGAAATTAAGTATCTCATCAAAATACAAGCATTAGCTGAGAGTTTTTTAAATTTTTAAATTAATGTGATCAAATATTTTAAAAAAAAGATTTGGTATCGGGTGCCTTTAAAAAAAGCGGATAATTGTAGGATGACAGTCAGGGATACATTTTCATTCATATTCAAAAAAGAGCAAGCGCCACTTAAAAATCGCGCTAGTGCTGCCAATCCACATACATAGTCACCATCTGTTTGGCAGAAAATCTCTCAACGCACAAACAATCAGAAGCGGAATCCAGAAATAATGAACAGCAATCAAAAGAAAAAGTAGATTTTAGATTTTTGATTCTTAAAAAATAATTAAAAATTAAAAAACAAACTTGCTAATCAACATTGCTGCAAACAAAGCAAACCAACCAAATTTGAGCACATCAAGAGTATTTTCATTCTGAATAGCGATTATTGCACAAATTATTGCAAATATTAATAAAATAATTGAAATCGTTATGCTCAGAGTGACCGATGGATGAAGTTTTATTATGAGTGTACCGAAGGAAATCTGCAACACGTTAAAGCGAAATAAAGTGCTATTGAAATAAATTAAGTATTATATTATCAAGGGTGGTATATTGTCGCTTATTGCTTCGATCTTATTGGTTTGATTTCTTTCTTTTAATGGAAATGAACCTGTCCTCAAAAGTAAAATCCGGGTGGTGGTGGGGATCCACCTGTACCTCGATAAATCAATTTATTCTCTGACAAGCCATACTTCATCCTGATAGTGAATGCAGTTAGCCAAAGAATTGTGCTCTTGTTCTTTTGAACAAGATGTCGAAAAAGAAGTTTAAAATGTAATATCACAAACCATGACGACGAAAGTAATTAAATCGCCAAGTGATGAAGCAATCATAACACTGATGTTATCAGGATTTATACCAAATTTATATGTTAGAATCACTGTGATAACCATTATAAAGCTGATTATAAACGATGCAAATGATGCGGTAAACGTAACTGATAACAGTAATAGCAATATTGTATCCATTGAGAACTGATAATTACCTCATTATTTCAGTTTTAAATTACATTCAATTAAAAACAGAGTGCTGAACTTTCAAAAGAAACTTAAAAAGCTAAACAGGCATAAAAATTAATTAATACCGTCGATTTTATCAAATACTGATGTAAACTAATTGCAGAACAAGCAGATAATGATATGATAATTGCTTGTGCTTGCACCAGTGAGATATTGCATAGTGCTAATTTTAATTGTTCCTTAAATGTATTCATTCTGCCCAAATTCACCTACAAATTGTAGCAATAACTTCAAAATTATGAACTAAATATTCCATTATTGCATTAAATTTTTTGCATATTACACTGGCCTAACAATTGTTTAATAATTGTTCGAAAAAAATCAGAAAATGGAAACATAATGTTCATGAGATTAACAAATGAATTTGTAAATCATACGATTAATATCATGACAATAAAAACAAATCGAAAAATGGGCATGAAAGAAATTTTAAATATTTTAAGCAACCTGAAAAGAATTCTTCGTAGAGCCTATTTGTGTTTGCGAAAAAAATGATGGTAAGCCAGGGTTATACTCATTTTTTATCAACAGAATAACAATGATAGAATGATAATTTTAATTACAGTAATGGTAATAATAGGAAATTCAATTAGGTAATAGTTAATTATAATAATAATTATAATTATAACAATAATATAATAATAATAGTAAAGTAATTAAATGAGCAAGCAGATATTTTATTTAAAGGCGTATTTTAAAAGTGATACTTGCCTACCACGTATTTTTTTATAGTATGCATTTCAGTTAGCTTAAAATAGTGCCTGTGTTGAAAGCCTCGAAGACAAGGTCATTTCAAGATTTCCTTTAAGACCGAGGATAGTTGGTATTATCATTACTGCTTCAGGTAATTTTTCAAAAAATTCCAATTGTTGAGCATGATTTAGAAGAAATCCAGCTACAATCATTCCACTGCAAGCCAACACGAAAGGTAAAGGAACCTGAATTCATGCATTTGTTCTTTCTTGAATATTTTTAGCTTTATATCGTTTCCAAAATTTTTAGCTTTTTTTTCAGAATATATTTCAATATTTCAATAGCGTTATAAATATTTATGATTGCAGGTTTTTTCGAATGATTCTTTACTTCAAATAGCAAAAATCATTTATGATTTTCATAAAAGGCTACGAAAGAACAAAGACATTTTTTCAAAATCTTTAAGATTAAGATTTTATATCTTATGGTTATCACGCATGAAAAAATTATACCTGGAAAAACAACGATCTGTTCAGCAGAATTGAATCTGATTCTGCATTTCTATTATCGTTGCCCGACTTTCTTGTTAATTTTCTCCACAATTCTTCGAAGCTTAAATTTGAATGATCTAGCAAAATAATTGTTTTATGACGATTAACCACCTCGATCAAAAATATTAAAGGATTTTAAACAAGTTTCGTCGATCTTTTACAGTTAGATATTTCAATAATTCTTATTTCACTGTAAGGAATTAAGGATTTCAATAAAACGAGTTAAATCTGAATTAAATGACCAATGAAGCTCAAATTTTCGAAATTTCAGTTATCAGCTTAATTAATAAGTTTTAGTTAATTCTAGCAATAAACTGACTTTCTAGCTGACTTCATGAACTCAAACAATATAATTTCTAAAATTGTAATTTAAAGAACCGGATTTCAGTCAATTACCATGCCATAGTTCTTTTTCCTTTGAGAATTATTTATCGCAAGTTTTCTGCTGTTTTCTTGAACGTTGCTGTTCACCCTTGTTTAATCGTTCAATTTGGTTTTTGTATACCAATGATGTATTATAAAAAAAAATTTCGACAAATTCTGAACATCATCATTTGAATTAAACATTACAATATGAAAATGGCAATTTAATCAACCTTTATACTTTATACTTTTCATTGAATCAAGCTAGTTTTGACTCGGAAAAGTCCAGAAAGGCCCATCACACTCAACATTTCCTCACTATCAATTACAATTTTTTCTCACCAAAATATGAAAGAATAAAGGAATAAAGATAACAGACAATCAGACAATTTTCAAACTGTGTGGGTTTAATGCTTTCATTCCGATGGAATTATCTGATAATCTTTCTATCTAATGATAATGATCGAATTATCTGTGAGAGCTTTTGGCTAATTCATTTTAAACACCTTTTTCTACTGTACTTTGAGGATGTTGAAAAAGAACTATCGGGATTTGGATACAGTAAAAAAATAGTAATACAACTATAAACTAATCAAGCAAATTTTATATTGTAAAATTTCCATTTTTTATAAAACACGGTGGTTTTTTTTTAATAAATACTTTTGCTCGATTATATAAATGGAATTTTTACATATAAAGTTTTGTTCTGCTAAAAAAATTTTAAGAAAGAGCTTATTATTTCGAACTGAAAATGATTTTAAAAGCACTTCATTGTTCATAAATTGCTTCGCTTCATTAAATGTAATATTCCATCCAAAATTGAAAGCTTTTCGATTGGCGATGAGAAACTACTTGCATTCTATTCCCACGTGATTCTCTAGCGAAGAATCTTATTTTAATAAGAGCCAGGAGAGCCAAACCAGAAATGATGAATGCAGTCGATAGAGGTTTAAGATGAAAATTTATTGATCCAATAAATCAGTGAAAATGCCAATTGATGAATAAATACCATTTTTATCAACGAATAAACATACAAAAATGCCATGAATTTAATAAGAACTAAGAAAACAAAGATTCATTAAAACACTGATTTAATTCAGAAAGAATTCCTAAATGATTTAGTCAAAAAAGAATGCATCTACCATTGAGCATTGATGGTAGTACGCCTTAACTCGGATACAAAGCCCACCCGTAACATCGCCCTAAATTATCTGATTCTACAGAGTGCTCATCTCCGCAGTTAATGGAGTCATGCAAACCGCAAACCTTGCATAACACGCATATCACTTTAAATTCCACTCATATTTCATCATCCATTTCTTTTTTCGCAGCTTTTTTTTTCATTTTGTAGTTTACCTATATGCTCAATGGACCATTCCATTCTTCTAGAAGAAATTAATTATGGAACTGTTTTTACAATAATAACCTCATGTTTATTTATTCATTACGATTTTTACATGTAAACCGTATCTTGAAAAACAAAGATGGAATAAGGAAAAAATAAAGGATTGCATATTAATTATGCAATTTCATACTTCACTCAACGAAATTTTTAAACTCTTTTAAACTGTTAAGAAATTTATAAAATTATAAATAAGTAATGTAAAAATCGCTCGCTCGTTCCGAACTTTTCATGAATACCATAGCTAGATAAAAGGCATGAAATTGATTCTTTAATTTAATTTTCAGCAAAGCGCCCAATTTAAGAAAATGCGTGAATACCAAACAAAATTTCACAACGAAATTATTTATTAGCTAATTCTCAACTCCAACTGTATGATGCATGTGAGTATAGGAGTAAACCTACCATTAAAAACGAAAACTGCGTGGCTATATCTATCAAGCTCTATTCCTACGTCCTTCCAACCAAAGGGATCACAAGTTTCTTTCTAGCAATGCCAACCGAACCAAAAGTGGTGCAAACTGTTATTGTTATTCTTGTTATTGCTGAATTATCATTCTTTTAGAAGAATAACAAACCAAACATGGTAGAATTAATTTGCATTCTTAACATTTGGTTATTTGTTAAAACACCAGAAACAAAATAAAATAAAAGTAAAATAAAACACAATACATACTATGAAATAATTTTCTTTCTTCTTCAAAAATATTTTAATACATTAAGACATAATACTTTTTGAAATAATTTTCTTGCTTCTTTTCTTCTTTGATATTTTAATTCGTCTTCTCGACCTTCGATTACCATACAGATTATCTAATGCGTTTGCTACATTTTTTCTTTTTCTCGAAATTTTCCCAGAATTTGCATTGGATGTACATTGCTAAAATTTAAAAAAGAAAATTTTAAAAAAGCTAAGATAAAAGTTGGAGAAAATATTTAACCAATTTTCAAGAGATAAGAAATATCCAAAGAATTTTCACTTTCGATTTCTTTTGAATTCTAGTTATACGAAGCAATCGACCTTCATAAGCAATACCGTTCATATTTAAAGCAACTGGCAAACTTGAACTATCACTAAAAGAAACAAAAGCGAATCCTTTACCGACTCCTGTATGCGGATCCCTAATAATACGAACAAATGACACATCACCAGCCTGAAAAATGGAGATTTATCCTATCAATTCGCTCTTATTTCGAGAAGAAAGCGAATAAAAAAATCTATGAGGTAAATTTCAACATTTGATTGTAGGTACCAAATGTAGGTACCAAAGCTCTTAACATAACCATCTTATTTAAAATTTACAATAGAAAAATGATCGATTAATTCATCTTCCTTTGCATTGAAAGGCACATTCCCGATAAAAACTGTATTTTTACAATCATAATACTTCTTGGCAGAGCAAAGATCCACTCGTAAATGATGACTACCAACTTTTCCACCATTTCTAAGAAAAAAAAATATTCTGCTTTGGCTAAATATTACGTATCTATAAGTGAAAAAATAGAATGCTTTATCTATAAGTGGAAAAATATAATTAGTGAAAAGAATTCAACGAATGTCTTTAACAATATCTCCTTTTCACAATTTGAAAGAAGATCTCAAAATGGCAAAAGAAGTATTAAAAGTACTAAAATGACAAGGAAAGATAAAAAGCATGCATAAAATTGAAAAACATGATTTACAATTCAAGAGCTTTCGTCATACTTTTCGCCTCAGCAAACTTAATATAAAAATTTCGTGAATGAACTTGACTAGATATTTGATTTTTAACAGCTGCAACCTTGAAAACATTAAAATGAATTGATTAGATGCGAAAAACAAAAAGTTATGAATTGAAATTAAAAAAATTTCTTTAGCTAGTAATTCTTATTAATTTTTAAATAATTTCTTTTATGCTAATAACTAAAGTGAGCTAAAATTAGAAACATTCTAGGCATACTTTTTTAGACAAATTCTTTTTATTTGGAATGACGGATCGCAAACGAACGCTTTCGATGCGCCCATATTTAATGAACAATTTTTTTACTTCCTTTCGAGTCATAGTTAATGGCGCATTACCAACGAATATTGTACGTTCATTCTTCTCATTTAGCATGTTTTTTTTAATTATAGGATTCATTCTGAAATTGTTTTAAAATGATGAAAGCATTTAAAACAAAATCTGTTCATCAACGTACGATGATAATGATAATGATAATGAATGCTTTAAAAAATCGAAAAATGTTAAATTGCCTCAAAAAAAATGAAACAAATAAAATAATATTTGTTAAAATCTAAAAATTATATAGATTTTTTTTGGATTTCTCAATTTTCTCATATTTAATATTTGGCCCTAAAAAAAACATATCACTTATTTTAATAAATCAACGCTTTTATTTCATTACTCCCTATTTATAAATTGTTTATTTCGAGCATATTGCACTTATTTCCCTACACTTATTTCTTAAATTTACTTAAATATATTGGACTTATGCATAAAATCAGAAAACCACTTCCATCTAAAAAGGCAAATTTAAGAGTCCATCCATATTCATAATCCTACAAACATAAAATCGATAATTTATATGAATTTCTCGATAATTCTTCAACTAAAAAATTATCATTAATCTTTGCAAACATTAGCATTGTGCAATGAGATAAAAATAAAATGTACGAATATTTAATAATGTATGTTTAATAATATATAAGAATAAGAATAAAAGTAAAAATAAAGTAAAGTAAAGAACCTAAAAATAAAAAAAGTTTAGAAACCGTTGTGATAATCTTTTATATTTTGGACCAATTGAATCGCTGACTGAATCGCTGTTGGTATCCACAATTCTCTCTGAATTATGAGATTTTTTTGGAACAATATCTGCGACATCTGTTGATAACTGTTCTTCCGCACAATGCCAAATCAAAATTTTATTGTTATTTCAGTGTAATAAAATTTATCATAATAAATTACCATTTAAATTATCCAGTTGATTATGTATAAAATATTATTATTTATTTAGATTATTTATATTATTTATTTATTATTTATTATATTTTCTTTTTTTCTGTTAATTTGTTCAACTGAGAAACTGATAGACTTTAAACCTTAAATCCACTCACACCAAATGGCCAAATGAAAAATAAAATTGCAGCTCACAAAAATGCAACTAGAAATTCTTTCATTTGAGGAAATATCTATAGAATCATCTATATCTATATCTATAGAATCGCGAGCTCACCATTAAAAAGAAAGGTTTAAAGTTCGCATCTATCTGACTGCAATGCGCATCATTCTGTTATATAGCTTCGAAATATCAATGAAAGCAGAAGAAATATTACGAAAGTATCCATCTTTGACCATTTATGTCCAAGGCAAATTTTTTCGCCGAGCGGAATCCTAAATGCATCCATCTCCGCTCATTTATCTCCATTCAGAATAACGTCATAAAGCGTCGCCTATGCAAATTAGCAATGCTGCTGGCTTGCTAAATACCATGTTAAATGACGCCAAAAGCGAGGAGTACCTGGACTGATGCGATGAGAAGAGATTTTAAACGCATAGGCGATCCAACGATAGCTAGATGTTAGATGGAATAAAGAGTGGTTTCTTTTAATAATTGATATGAAGATATGACATCGGATCGAATGGCGTGCAGACGACTTACCTTTGTAGCCAGAGGAGTTAGCAAAATCAGTAATGGCCTTAAGAAAAAAGAATTTGTCTAATTTATTACTTGTTTCAAGTTAATTTATATTTCATCAACTAATTATGCACGATGCTACTCTGACATTGCAGCAAAAATTGGTTGCAATATTAATGAAAATAAGATAAAATTCTTTTCGTCACCTACAGTGGTTAAACCATGTTCCTCGTCTTTTATCGCAACGCATTACCAAGCTTTATGTTGGATGGCGTAGAGAACAATCGAGACCTAACTGATATAGGCAGGAGAGATGTCGAAGATATAGGGTGCTCAATGATGTAGGCTTAAAAGCTGGAAAAAGTGCCTCTCAAATGTTACATCGGATGGCCTGGCGATGCCTTACTCTGCCAATGGAACCATGAGTAAAAAGAATAAATATGCAATTAATTAAAATAAAATGATAAACTAATTTTCTAATTTTCTAGCCGTTATTTTTTTCATAATTCACTTCGATTTTCCATTTTAATTTTCCATTTTCACCTAATTTTCACTTCAATTCAAATCAATCAATCAAACATGAACTGTAAACGGTAATAATAAATAATAAAAACAATGATCGCTGAAGTGATCAATGATCAAAAACACTAATAAAAAAGAGAAAGAAAACTTCAATAAAGAACTTCAATCTGTTATAACTGTTATTAATAAAATTAGCTTATAACTTAAATTAAAACAAACACGAATTATAAATTCATAAAACTTAAAAATTTTAAAAAATTTAAAATTTAAAAATGTTTAAAAACAAAAACATTTAAAAAATGCAAATAAAACATCAGAAGAACCTTTGAAGTGGATGAGTTCTTTTCGAAAAGCTGCACTAAATCTGCATTACTGTTTAAGACATCTGTTTCTTCATCTATTTCCTTCCCTTTTTTTCTCAAAATTTTCGCATTTTCTTCTCTCTTCAAAAAAGACTTTAAAGCACCAGTTACATATTGATCACATTTCCAAACATTACCATTGTTATTTTCCATTCTTAAAATAATTCCACTTTTTATTTTTTCAGTTTTGTCAAAAAAAACTTTCCGGTGATGCGCCGTCTTTTTACGGCACACTTACATAATGACAAGGAGGAGAGGAGGAGGCGAGGACTGTAGATCAAATATGTGGTCTCTGATGGAACCTAAGACACGAAGGACAAAAAAATAAAATGAAGAACCACATGAATGCCACAATCCCTGATCTTTGCTGCCCACATAACCGAGTTGTAGTTGTAGTTGAAAACCTCTAAACCGTTCTTCGATAACGCGGCTATGGCCGACAATTTGACGGCCCGAGAGAATCCTTCATGGATATAAAAACTAAAAATAAAGAAATAAAATAAATAAAGAATCAGTGGAATTAAAGTGCAAATATAATTTTGCGTTAAAAATGATTCAGAAAATCAGAAAAAGAAATAATAGTTAAAAAAACAAAGTCTTTTAAAGGTCAAATTACTTTCACTCTAACATCATCAACTCGGCGAATTCCTATAGCAAATGCTTTTTGGCAGAGTCAAGTTTCCGAAATTTAGAAGGGGCACAACGCATTCATCGTTCGTATATGTATTTCGTCGATTACTACTGCAAGTCGTAGAATGATTTCGATGATTTCGTTTCATCAGTTTCCCAGATGAATTGCTGGATGCACAATCAGGACTGTCTGATCTTTCGCGGATTACAAGCAGTGATATCCATGGTGCATCGACTTTTTCCGAATAACGACGTTTAGCTGCTAGTGGTTGTTTGAGCTACAAATATATTTCAAATAAATGAAGATTTCTGACGAAGTTTCGGATAAAATTCATTTAATTTATGTAGAAATTGACCTCTGAACGAATTTACGCCATATGCTTCTTCAAACAGCCTCAGCTTTTCTGGTTCCATTGATTATGGGACCATTTTGCCACCACCTGGTGTAGAGAGTTATAGATAGATCGCTACCATCGCCCGAGATTTTTAAAGGTTTAGCCATCGAACCCATGATATTTAATCTCAGATGGGCAGAAGTAGTTCCTATGCTGTGTTGAGAAGAACAAAAAGTCTGCGTGATGCTGCCCCCGCACCCATATTTCTATCGCCAAGTACCTCTTTGACAAGAATCTCTAAATATGTCATAGACAGAATCTAATCAGAAATGGTGAGTGCTAATCACTTTGCGATGAAATTTCGGTTGATTTTTTGCTTCGCTTAAAATATTTCGATTTAATTTTTGCTCAATCTTTTTCGCTTTTAAAAATTTCGATGTTAACGACTATGAAGGGATAGTAAGAATAAGGGAAAATCTCAATTTTTTTATTTAGTAAAAAAGAAAATAAGTGTTCAATTGCTATAATTAATATAGGAAATAAGGGTTTGCGATAACAAAATTTTTCCAAAAATAATTTCCGCTATTTCCTTAATTTTCGCCAGCAAACAATAGTCGTTTACGAACCTTGCAAAAGCTTTAATGATAGATGAGAATTAAAAATTTGTAGTTCTCTTCACTAAATGAAAACGAAATTACTTGAAATGATTTTACGTAGGATAGAATGGTTTAGTCACTGTTGCTCTTACTTTTGAGCGCAAATGCTAGGGTTCTGTTTCTTTGCAGTAGTAAATGTGTCTTGCAAAAGCCCAAATGATGACGACTCATTTGCTTCATTTGTGACTGTCTGGCCAAATTTTTCTCCTCGGATAAGCCAGACAAACGAATAATAAGAAATGGTAAGTGCTCTTGGAAAAAAAATCATCACATGTAAAAATTACGCGTTTTGTGTGATTCCATTAACTGATGCAATGGAAACCTTTCATCAGTTAATGACAAAAGTACAGATGGACTCTCAGCATCACCCGACTTCACTTTTAACGCCAAGTTCACACCAGTCGAGAAACCAAAATCGTATTGAAGCAATACCATACTATGTCTGATTTATTTAACTCACAAACAGATCGGCCCAAACCTATCGTTTTACATATACCAATCCGCTAATATTTTCATATATTAAGTTTAAATTCCGTTGTAGTTGGGTTATAATACAATTACAATTAACTGCAAATAGTTTTCAGAAGTCCTTTTCGAAAAAAGATTATAGCGATATTCAGCGGTTAGCAAGCGGTTATGGGAAATAATCGAAATACAAGGTGTGAAAAGGTGTTTTTGAATATTTCCAAAAATTTCTCTTTTTCGCAAAAAATTTTGTTTTTTTTCTTTAAATTACTTAATTGCTTTAAAAATAATAATAACTGTGATTTAAAAGTATTTATTTTGCTAATATCAATTTGTTAATATGATTTAGACGATTTATTAATACTCTTTTTTAACTAAAGTGGTACTAAATTAAAGTGGTAAGCACTACGTGATAGAAGTGCAGATGGGTCTGTGATCATGGGTCTACCTAGTATATTGCGTAGATTATCATCTTAGATGTCATGATTATCGCCTTAGCCTATCATTTAGGAATTTGAATGGTGATAGGAACTCACCCATACTTTCAAATGATCCTCTGTTGGAACTTTTCATGCAGTTAAACGCAAATGGTAAGTATAGTTATATAAGAATGTATATTTCCATTCGGCATTTTTTATTTACAAAATGCTTTTTAACACCGAATGGCCAGGCAAAAGAAGAAATTACAACCAGGATAACGTTAGCTAGAAATACATTCTTCTGGTTGACGAAACCTTTATGCAACTATCGCGAAACCATAAAAATGAAACTCTATATAACTACAGTTTGCTCGATCTTGCTATATGGTTGCGAAACAAGGCCAATAAAAGTGGAGGACATTAAGAAGTTATGCCTTTGACCACTCATGTCTAAGATATTTCACAGGTTCATCGATCGGATGAAATTCACAAGATTGCATCTACTTTCGCTCAGATAGGATTGCTTAGTGGGCTGTTGCTCAATTTGGATCGCGATACTAAAGTTCTATTCCCAGCAGGAGTAAACCTGTTTGGAGAACTTTGTAAACTTGTTCAAAAATCCAGGTGATGCTGGCGACTTACCTGTATTTCTATCGACAAGGGACTTATCTGACATATTTGTCCAATGCGACAAGATAGCGACAGGAGCGAGTTTAACCAGTAATGGTGAAAAACTTTTTAAAAAAAGATACCACCTTTAATAATACCATCATAGAGAGTGGTCTTCGCTGATTAGGGAATATTCGTCGACGCCCACCACAAGATATATCGTTAATTGCTAAACCCTGTGATGAATGGCGTCAAAAGTGAGGTAGACAAATCAAGACCTGGACT